GTTATTAACTAACCCTAGTTTGAAATTCATCTTCCAAAATGTGAAATTAAATTTCGTTTGTGAAAAATTAGTTTTCGTTACTTTGAAATTCATTTTCATTTTAGCGAAATTAGATTTCCCTGATGTGAATTTAGTTTTCATTAATTTGAAATCAAATTTCACTAGTGTGAAATAATGCTGGAAATTGTATAGAACAGTTCTCATGTCGGTTAGAACAGAGCTATTATTTTTTTAAAGTTAAATTCTCAGTTGAATAAGAATTAATTTTTCACATTAATTTGGTAATTTATAAATAAGTTGCTTGGGCGAATTTAGTTGTTGTTACCCTTTAACGTTGTTGTTACCTTATTAACCCTAGATACTTGTTTAATAAATAAACTGCTAGACAATTGCTTTCAAGCAAGGAATTTTTTTTCCTAACTTCCAGGCTCAATATTTTTGGAACCAGACTAAATATCGACTTCCCATTGTTACTGGCCGACTATTTGACTTTATATGAAAAAAATTGCTGTATGGAAACCAGAGATTGATATTTTGGTTCCAAAAATATCTAGCTTGAAAGGTAGATGAAACTTTCCTTTTGCTCGAAAGCAATTGTCCAGCAGTTTAGTTGCAAAATAGCTATTTATACAACAAGTTACGAAATGAGTGTCTTTTAGGCACGCGACGTGAAAATTGTCCAACGAGGCGTAGCCGAGTTGGACAACACGTAGAGTGACTAAAAGACATCGTTTCGTTACGTGTTGTATACAAGATTTTTTCTACTGGCGTTTCATCCTGAAAAAAAGAAACATAATTTTATTCCTCGTAAATAAGAGCCGATCGCGCCAAAAAAGTTTGGCACCTGCTTTTGATTGACATCTTTCATGAGGTTTTTTTGATTGAAAATTGAAATCCTATTGAAAAAAACAACAGAAAGTTCTGTTTTGAGTAACCCAAACGTTTACTTTAGTAGTTCAAATAATTGCATTGACAACATTTATGAAAAAATAGACAAAATTCAAATCTGTGTGTTTTATTTCTGAACAATGAGTGACACTTTTAGGCACTAGTGCTTAAAAGTGTCACTTTTACGCACTAGTGCTTAAAAGTGTCACTTTTACACACTAGTGCTTAAAAAAATGCCATTTAAAAACTAAAATGACAATCGAAAAGTCGCTATTATGAAACGTCAGTAGAAAAAGTGTATTTTGCAATTGTTTTTTAAGTTGAATAACTTTGATAAAATTTGATTTTACTTTTGTTAATTTGTAATATAAATAGGTATATTTTGAAACTAAAAAATGTTTTTTCCTAAACCACCAAAATATATATTTTTTTCTATATTAGAAACACTGGATTTTGAGAATTCTGGCAGTTCAAAAACCATGCAACAGATAGAAAAAAATTGCCTCTATTAGTAAAAAATCATGTAAAGCTGATAATAATTATTTTGTGACAGGCAATAATTCGGTTATGGCAAAGTAAAAGCTACAGTAGTAAAATTAAATATAAAATAAATTGATAATAAGAATATTTTTAGGAATACAGTTTATTTACAATCTAAGTAACATATAAAATAAGTAATTGGTTTTTTATATATTTTGTTGTAATTGTCGCATGATTCTATTGCGTTTGTTTCTACCATTGATATTTTCCTGATTTTGTCCTATAACTTCCTCATTAACTACTTGTATTTCTTCATTATGAAACTGCACATATTCTTCTGGTAAGTCATCCTGTAGAATACAAACATTGTGCAAAATACATGCAGCTACAATGACCAGTGCTTTGAGATCTTCCTGAACAGTTTCTAGCATTTTTAATCTGCGAAACCTGCCCTTCAAAAATGCAAAAGCCTGCTCAATCACTACTCTTGCTCTACTCAACTTCAAATTAAAATTCCTTTGAGCATTAGTCAAATTTCCATTGTTTTTGAAACCAACAATCAATGTATCAGTAAGCACATATGCCAAATCCCCAATTAAGTGGCTGTTGTTGGGAAAATCAATTAACTGATTTTCAGTTCTCATACAAAGATCAGACATTCTATATAGTCTGGAATCATGCACCGAGCCAGGTACTCCAGCAAATACATCTGTAAAAAGTTTTCAATGGTCACAAACACCTTGTAACAGAACAGATGGGTATCCATGTCTATTAATGTATGAGTTGGGATTTTCTATTGGTTTGGTAATTTGAATATGGCACCCATCTATCACTCCAATGATTCCTAAAAAAAAACAAACATGAACAAGCTGGCTAAGATATTTTATCAATCAATGATGTTAATCAAGTGGTATTTCAGTGCAAGTATTTTTTTGCACTCACTTTGTCATTGTATGACATTAAGGTTTAAAGTCAACCACCATTTTCTGAACCTTGTGTTCAAAAATTCCAAAAAAAATATATGTTTTATGGTTATTGATATACTTAAATCCATAATTTTTTTAAGCAAATTTGACTCGCCATTTTTGAGTTATATCGCAAAAACTGAAAAAAAAGTGGTTTTTTCACCATTTATTTCAAAACAAATAGATTCCCGTTATTTTCATTACGAACTACTATTGCAATTCTACGCGACATATTTTTTTCAAATTTTTTGAACTTGTAGTTTTCTCGCTACTGCAAGAATAGTTGGAAATACGCCTGTAGCTACACTGTTTTAAAAAAAATCCGACGGATGAACGTTCAAAATTATTTGTGTTGGTCCAATCTACAACCCTGTTTATGTAAAACAGAATAATACTTCGAATTTCCGCAAAAAAAAGAAAAAACTTTCCATCACACAATTTAATCAAATGCAGATTTCTATTTTTTTTTTACTATCAAGTATAATGGAAAGAAGCTAAATACTCTCGCACTATTGAAAATTTTATTTATTAATTGATAAGTATTACACCTAGTAGGTTGTGTTTGTCAACAAAAGTATAATTGAAAAAATTGCAGTAAAAAAATAAGCTGTTTCCAATGTGTGCGTTAAGATTAATTTTAATTATAATTTCATTCTTACTTTCTCAATCAATATCATAGCAATCATATCTTATATTTATTAGGAAAAGTTTTTATTATTAGGTCACTTGCAAATAATAGAGAATTGAAGTGGTGATGCTGAAGTCTTACTTTACCTGGAAATTGACTCATTTCCTCAAATCCTTGACTGATTTCATGAACTCTATGTCCTGTAGGCCATGATATTATACCATGTTGATGATTTACAGCTAATAATCTCTTACACATCCTGTATAGGACTTTCCAACATGTTGATTTGGTAACACCAAATTTTAATGCCACTGACCTACAAGATAGAAGATACAGCTTTACCTAATGTTTTGGTAACGAACACTTATTATAAGATTTAGGTACATGCTCCTTTAACCATCATCGAAATACTTTGGATAGGTAACATCGCCAAAAAGCCTGAGTGAATTTTGATTTTGGAAGCCACTAATCCGGTGACTCTGGTAAACATATTGCATACAAATTAGGTAGGCACACTTACCGAAACGATTCAACATTTGCTAGGCACCAAACCGTCATTAATAGTTGCTTTTCTAAAGCTATTTCTGGGTGCCCCCTTTGTACAAAGTTTTCTTCATGGTTATGATTATGCACTAGTTGTAGTAGTTTTTCAAAAGTTGTCGGTGACATTCTAAAATTTTGCTGGAACTGTTGGTCTGAAAAGCGGGGAATCGTTTCCTCCGCAAATCCCCATATTTTATCAGTCTCATCGTCGTCGTCGCTACTATCGTCAAAAAAATGAAGAAAACCGTACTCAATAAATGGTACTATGTGGTTTATGACGTTCATTTTGGAATGAATTTTGTAACAAAAATATCGCTTGAACCAAACGAAACGACTCAAAGATCTGAATGAAATGTTACAGTTAAATTTTGAAAAAGTAAACAGTAATTTTAGGTTATAAACACTAAGCATCAAACGTCATTTTTCTGCTCAAATACGTTCGGTATTTGTTAACTGCTCTGTGCGCTCGATCGTCACGTGACCACGATTCCGCTCCAGCACGCTCTGCCCTTTGAGCAATATAACGAACGCACGGCTAGGCGGAGTTCCAGAACAGCACCGGGACCTTACGCGCTCATTCCTTTCAAAAAGTGTTTGTTGCACCTGAGTGCTCAAGCGCGACTCAAACAATTCAAATGCATGAAAGCCAGCGCATCTGTTCCTTCCAAATCGGGGTCGACTAACCCCGAAGCGAGTAGCTCTAGTGTTTAAAACTTTTGAAAGGAATACAACTAATGGTAATGAACTCATTAGCGTTAGTTGAATTGTTGACGTCACGAACCTGAAATATTTTGCACTCAGTTCAAGTTAGTGCGACATATACAAAACAAACACCTTTTGTACCATTCCGAACTTACCTGACATTAAAAGACCGTGCGTTCGGTATTTTGATCTGAGTTCTCCAAGCTTGAATTCACGGTTCGAATGTTCAAAACGTGTGCTCCGTGCAGGCTCATTCGTGTTCGTTTATTAAAATTTCTAGAACTCTGATACAGCGTTTAACTGCTCTGTGCGCTCGCTGGTGACGTGATCACGGCTCCACTTAGCACGCTCTGCTCTTTGAACAAAATACTGACCGTAAGGTAAAAATCAAATTTTGTTCTGAATGTCGAATGTCGCTGGACTTCGTACACACTAAGGGCGGGTATTATAAAACTACTTTGAGAGTTAACTTAAAGTTAACTTTTTGAATTACATGTAATTCCAGAAGTTAACTTTAAGTTAACTCTCAAAGTAGTTTTATAATACCCGCCCTAAGTTTGGAAAATAAATGGGAAAATAGCTCCACGAGTCAAAATGGCTACGTTCCAATTTTTTCGCTGTTTTTGATCCGAAGTTCCATCATTCACTTCGGAGCAGAACGGGGTGCTCTAGAGCGCGCCAAAGTGCATACTGGACTGGAAAGCAGCTCTAATTACACTTCGGCTTTCGGAGCATCCGGATTACAGGTAAACCGCTCTAAACCTGAGTGTATCGATATATCGTATCGATAAGCCCTCCTCTACTGTCTACTCCCCTCCCTCCCAACTGATTTTTTTTTTCGAAAACAGCAATTTAGGAACTGCTACCTGCACAGGTAACTGCATTAAATTATTTCAATTTTCTCAACTTTTATCAATCAAAATCGAATCGATATGGCAAGCCCAGAAACTTTGCAATGCTTCAATAGAGGTTGCGGTCAGAAATTCGACCCAAAAAATAACAAGGACGGTAAGAAACTAATTTCAGGTTAGAAAAGAAAATTCTAGATAGATAAACCACACAGACGCTTGTAGACACCATCCGGGGGCCCCCTTCTTCCACGATGCCTATAAAGGGTGGTCGTGCTGCAATAAAAAATGCACCGATTTCACTGAATTTCTCAATATACAAGGGTGCAGTGTGACTAAGCATTCGAATATTAAACCGCCCGAGCCTGAAAAGCCTAAAGTTGAAGAAATTCCCGATGTTGAAATTGTTGAAGTTAAACCTATTATTGTTGCTCCTGTTTTGAAAAGACCTTCACTTGATAGTCCAATGGTAATTTTTCAGTTTGAGTTGGTTGATTTTAGTATAAAATTGATTAACTTTTAGTCACTTATGCAACCTGAAATAGCCCCTGGTCTGAAATCACAAATTGACTCTATAGAGAATCCACAAAAAGACAATAAAATTAATAGCGATGAAATTGCTGTTGGGACCAATTGCAAAAATGGAGGATGTACCATTTCATATCAAGGTGAATATTACATTTGTTTAAGTTTAAACCTTAACCGATTATTTTCAACAGATCCTAGCTCCAATGATAGTTTATGCTTACATCACCCTGGAGTCCCAATATTTCATGAGGGCCTTAAATATTGGACTTGCTGCCAAAGAAAAACAACTGATTTTAATGCTTTTCTAAATCAAGAAGGTTGCAAAGAAGGAAAGCATGTCTGGAAAAAATATTCGGTAATTCAAAATCAATTTAATAAACTTCTGCTAATAAAACATCTTGCAGGATTCCGACACGAAAGTAGATTGTAGATGGGACTACCACCAAACTGGTCCATACATGGTAATCTCCGTTTATGCCAAAAACTACAGTCCCAGTAAAAGCACAATCAAATTGAACCCTATAAGGCTTACAATTAATTTAATATTTCCTCAACAAAATAGCGCCACTTTTCAATTGGATATTGAATTAAAAGGCGTCGTTGATGTTTCTGCTTGTAAAGTAACCATGTATGGCACTAAAGTTGAAATCAAACTTAAGAAAGCTGAAGCTGGCAATTGGTCAAAATTGGAAGAGAGAATTATCAAGAATGAACCAGAGGTTTCTAAAAAGGAAATTGTGAAACCTGAAATTGTAATGCCTAAAATTGAAGCTGTCGATTTGGATGATTTGTGAATAATAATATGTAGTTTTTTATGGTAGTTTTTTAAAGGGCAATTTTGTTAGTTTGTGCTGTGTGTGGAATAACAAAAATGATTGCTTCAATTTTGCATTTTTTTGAAATAATTTTAACAACTAAGAATAAATAATTGCAGTTTTATTTCTTATTTCTCTCAAAGTACCAGTGATGATGTAAGTAGCGTGTCATTTCTCGCCTTGACGTAGGTGTTTGCAAGGATAATACAACAGGATTGCTTATCAGCTAGGTTTTTGGTAATCGCCGCTGTTTTAGAATGTTAATAATGTAGTAAAACCAAGTATGCATAAAGTAAAAGACCTTGGATTCATAATCTGTGATGCGAACAGCCTATGTCAAGGCGAGAAAGGACATGCTACTACGTCACAATTGGTGATTTGGCGTGTGGGCAACAGCGGTTCTAGAGAAGAGTCCTGGGAGGGGAAGTAAGGCAATATTTTTCACAAGTTTTTCACCCATATCGTCCGTCGATTTTAATCTAATACTTTCCGCATGAGGAGTGAGGGAGTGAAGTATATGGCAAAAACAGGTGTGACTATTGGCGTTCTAATGTATACTAATGTAGGGAGTCACCAATAACACATAAGTTGGTGACTTCACCAACTTATGTTAGTTAATAAGATTTTTTTCGGGTGCCGCACCCAAAAACCTTTATTTTAAGCCTTCAAAAAAACTTTTTTTTTTTTTAGAGCTTTGTTGCTTTTTTATAGATCTGGGATTTTATTCTCGAAACCGAGGAACCGTATAGTGGCACTGCATTTTCTGAACGCAAGGATTCGACATGATCACTTTTACTCCGAACATACCTGTATAAATTCGGTTGCTGCGTTCGTTTATTCGCTCGGAGTTCGGAGCATGTAGAGCTTGAGCAAAGGTCAGCTGGATCATCCGGGTGAACCAAGCATAAATAAACTCGGAAAACTCCAAAGAGAATAAACGAAATCGAGCGCACGGTGTGCACAGATCAAATAAACGAACGCCACTGGTGTCGGTGTCAGCCCCAGCCTTGGCAGGGAACTGCCATGCTAATCAGCTGAGCTAGATTTTTTTTTTTCCATTTTCAAATTTTAAAGTAATAAAAACTATAATATGAATCTTGCTATAATCAAATAATAAGTAAGTTATCGACCCTTTCCCTTTAATTAATTACATTAATTTGATTTTCTTCTCAGGTTGGATTGTGTAAAAATGCAGCTAACCTCTTCCATGCGAAAAATTTTACTATACAGAGGAACCTTTACGAAATTATCCAAACAATTAACGCAAAAAAACATAATGACAACCCCTAGGAAAATGCAAGAAGTCCTAGACGACCTGAAAGGCAACCCCTACTACGATAAATATGCCCAGAAAATCGCCCAAATCCAACAAACTGCCCCCGAAGAGTTCAAGTCGAAAATTGTAGATTTGGAGAAGAAAAAAGTGAAAAAAATCGAACCCATAAAGGGACAGCAATTTTCTCCACTATTGAATCCCAAAGAAAAGCTTGCAACTCCAATCCAATCAAATGAAGCTTCTTTGGACAAAATTTTAAAAATTGAATTAATCAAGGACAAACCTGCAGAAGAAGTCGAGCTTATTTGGCAAAAATACCATTTGGAAAAACAATGCATCTCTGCCATAATTCCTGCCAAGGATTTTGAAACTCTGGAACAAAGATCAGCCAAACATCCAACATTTCTATTCCCATTGCCCAGAAGTCAAGGCTACGAATTCATAATGTGCCAATTCGAGGCCAACACCGTTCATTTCACTCCGCTTTTACATTTTCAAGTGCACAAAGAAAACGCCCCCGAATGTTTAACAATAACTCATTACAAAGAATTCAAAGATGACAAAGGAATTGTTTTAATGCGAGGCGAGTACGATAAAAACGTTTTGAATGCCAAAGAAGCTCAATGCTTGGCTAACGAGTTGCAATTGTACTATGTACAAACAGATAAACGGAAATTGGAGATTTTGCAAACATTTACTAGTAAACCTGATAGTTTTGATCATATGGATTTGGTGAACGAATTAAATAATTTAAAATTGGGTTAGAAATGTATTTTATTGTTATTGCAGTTTAATAAAATATTTATGTTGAAAGTTGGAAGCATTTATTTATTAGAAAAATTTTTTTGAGTGTTTCATTGCATAGAATAAATAAATGATGTGCGATTTGGTTTATTTTGGTTTTACTCAGAGCTCAGAACTAGTAGGTCTGTTTCTGCAGAAATCACAAACCAGTCAGAGTGAATTTCATTGGTTGAAATTAGTTTTCTGACTGTTTTCAGCCAATGAAATTCGCTCTGACTGGTTTGTCACGTCTGCAGAAACAGACCTAGTTAATTCGGTTTGGAATCATTCTGCACATGCGCATGTTATAAAAAGCGTTTCTTTTTAAAATCGTAATTTCAACTGTTTTAACAGCGTTTTGGATTATTTAAAACCAAAAAGAGAACAACTCATGGATTGTTCGAGAATAGTTCTGATTGCTCTTGCTTTGAAGGAGGATTTGTTTCGGAATTTTGTGAATTGCGCCTTGTTTTGTTCTTTTTTTTGGTTCCGAATAGGTTCAGAACTAGTATTAAAACAGGTCCTTTATTATTTATTGTGCGCGATCCTAGAACTTTTCCAAATTTCGAACCAAAACAAACCTTTTGGTTCCGAATCGGTTCAAAACAAGTATTAGGACAGAGTTGCTTTCCAGTGACGCACTTCAAGCACTCCTGAGCTGCTCTAGAGCGCCCCGGGCTGTTTATAGGCGTTCCAGTGCAATAGAGTTTCACGCAACTGAACTGATCGTTTTCATCAAAAACACGACACTGAAAGTAGGATGCGTTTCAGTGAAGTAACAGAAGATCGTACTTATACCTACGTAATTTTGAATCAGTTCAAGATTTTTTTTTCCACTCCATTCGATAGATTTATTTTTAATCTTTTTTATGTAATGATTTCGGAACAGAATACGAATACTCGTTACTACTCAGAATCGTTTTTGAACAGATTCTAATTGAACCGCGAACAAAGTACTGTAACTAAAAATTCGGATTATTATGATTTATGAACGTTTTAATTTGAACTGCGCAGGCGAATAGTTCTGAATCACTCCCAAATCCAAATCGCGAACGACGCTATTAATGTTGTTCGGAGATCATATTTTGAACCAATTTGTAACTATAGTTCAGGATTACCATAGAGCACATACCTATATATGAACTAGTTCAAGATTTTTACTTTACTCCGAACGGTTTCGGAACTGAATATGAAAACTCGGAACTGTTCAGAATTGTTTCGATCTGATTCTAGTTGAACTGCGAACAAAGATCTTCAACTAAAAATTCGGAATTTTGTAATCCGCGGACGCCATAATTCCGAAATAGTTCCGAATCCTTGTTCCGAACGAAACTATTAATTTTGCTCCTGGATAACATTCGGAACCGCATCAAGATTATAGAACGCATACCTACTCAAATATCATTATCAGCCAGTACAAAATTTTTATACTCTATGAACAATCTCGGAACAGTTGGACCGCGAACAAAGAACTGTAACTAAAAATAATTCGGAATTGATTTGTAAACGTCATAAATTTGGAATTTTGTTATTTATTTGCGGTTTCTTTTTGTTTTTTTGATTCCGAATCGGTTCAGAGCTTGTATTAGAACAGTCCTCTATTATTTATTGTGCGCAAGCAGTTTTGCGCGATCCCAGAACCGTTCCAGATTTCGAACAAAAAAAATAAAGCTATAGAGCGCATACCTAGGGTGCGTTCAAGGACGGCAATGCTAATGCCAAAACCTACTTTTCCCCCTTCACCGGTAATGCTGAACCACGTAGTCTGGAGCCGAACGCAAAATGCCAATTTTGGCTTGGCTGTAGCCAATCGTGAACGCAGCCCTAAGCCGCTTTTCAGTATGGGATTGTGACGCCCGGAGCTACTCGGGGCGTTGAGCTCCCGAGCTGTACGTACTCGTCAACCTGTCAGTTATCACATTAGTGGGTGGCTATTTATTTATTTGTTTCTTGTTATATCTCGGGATCGAACATTTCCAAAGTATAGTTTTGATTTTCTTTAATTTTTAATAAATAAAATACAAACTGCACCAACAAACAGATAATTATTTTTAAAATTTGACATATTTGACACTAAGACAGACGTTTCACGCCATGATACTGGAACGGTACAACTCTAGTGCGTGGTGCCCCCGAGGTGCTCTAGAGCGCGCCAATGTGCATACTGGAAAGCGGCTCTATTTTGAACCAGTTCAAGATTTTTTTTGAATTTTATCCCGAACGGAACAGGAAAACAGCAACTGTTCAGAATCGTTCCGGAACCAATTCCGGTTTGAACAGTTTGCGGAATTTTGTAGAGCGATTTAGTTCGGAATCAGCAGCTAACGAAGTTATTAATTTTGTTCGTGGATCACATTCCGAACCAATTTGGAACTGTTCAGAGTTATCGTTAAAGTCGTCTGTTCGTGCATAAATCACAAACTAGCCATAGCGCATTTCATTGGTTGAAAACAGTCAAAAACAGTCATAAAACGAGTTTCAATGAAATTCAATTCACTCTGACTGGTGACACCTATAAGCTTTGTTTTTTTAGGCAAAAATTCCGAATTTTCCTGAACCTAATTTTTTTTATACTCTGAACGATTTCGGAATAGAAAACGAAAAATCAAACAAAGAACTGTAACTAAAAATTCAGAGTTTTATGATTTGTGAACTTCATAAATCGAACAGGGCATGCGAAATAGTTCCGAATCAGTCCTGAATTCTGTTCGCGAATAAAGTTAAAAATACTAGTTCGGGAATATCATGTAACATGGAACGCATACCGGATCATGGACCAGTTCAAGATTTTTTATTTTACTCTGATCACTTTCAGAACAGAAAAGAAAAACTCGGAACTGTTCAGAATCGTTTCACAATAAGGGCGGGTATTATAAAACTGCTTCGACAGTTAACTTGAATTCAACTTTTTGAATTACATGTAATTCCAGAAGTTAACTTTAAGTTAACTCTCAAAGTAGTTTTATAATACCCGCCCTAAATCAAGTGTGTAGCTAAAAATTTGGAATTCTGTGATCTGTTTGTCATAATTCGAACTGTGTCTGCAAAAATGTTCCGAACCAGTTCTGAAGCCCTATCCCGAACGCTGACCAAGCTAATAATTTTGTTAGTAAATCAAATTTTGAACCAATCTGGAAATAGGTCAAGATATTTATTTTACTCCTAAGGATTTTGGAACAGCGAACGAAAATTCAGAACCGTTCAGAATTGCTTCAGAATCAATTCTAGTTGAACCGCGAGCAAAGAACTGTGAAAAATTCGGATTTTTATGATCCGTGAACGCTCTAATTTAAACTACATATGCTAGCAGGTTCCGAATGAGTTCTGGATCCAATAACTCGGAACCGATTCTAGTTGAACTGGGGTGCGTTCAAGGATGGCAATGCTAATGCCAAAACATACTTTTCCCCCCTCCACCGGTAATGTCGAACTACGTTGGTTGGAGCTACAGTGACTCTATTACCACAGTGGCGACAATTGCTGTCTTATTTTTGATTGGTTCTAAAATCCCATATATCCATATATTTATATTGAAAACACCGCCATCTTGTTCCCAACCTCTTGTTACTTTTGAATAGGAATATATGGGATTTAGGTGAACATCCATCATAAATCATGGAAAACAACGTATTTATTGATGGACCTAATAATGGTCATCAAATACGTCGATATCAATTTTTTATGATAGATGTCCATTTAAATCCTATATATTAATATTTAAAAGTAACAAGAGGTTGGGAACAAGATGGCGGCGGGACCTCTATTGTCGCCACTGGATGTAAAGGTTTATCAGCCACTGTAGTTGGAGCCGAACTCGAACGCAAAATGCCAATTTTGTCTTGGCTGTAGCCATTCCTGAACGCAGCCCTGCACAACAACAAATAGGTAAAAATTTGAACTGGCGGGTGCGAAATAGTTTCGAATGAGTTTTGAATGCAAATCGCCGAGAACTTGAAGGATGCGATTCCTTTTAAACGGCGTAGGTATGTCTCAAACTTGGAGTTCCTATTAAAATTCGAGAACCGATAAAACTGGTTAAGAATCAGTTCGGAATCGATTCTGGTTGATCCACCTTCGTAACCAAAAATTCGGAACAATTATGAACCAGTTCAAGAATTCAATTTTACCCTGAACAATTTCGGAACAGAAAATGTAAAGCCGCAACCAGCGTTTCAGTTCTTCTAGAATCGTGATCAAACTTTGTTAACAGCGTTTTGGATTATTTAGAACTACATAAGAACAATTCTGGGATTGTTTTAGAACGGTTCTAATTGTTCTCGCTCTGAAGGAGGATTTGGGAATTTTTTGAATTCTGGCTATGTTTGTTTTTTTTTCGCTCCGAATCGGTTCAGAACTAGTATTAGAACAGTCCTTTATTATTTTTTATGCGGAAGCAGTTTTGTACAGGTTCAGAACTGTTCCAAGTTCCAAATTTCGAACCAAAACAAAACTCTGGGGTGCGTTCAAACAATCACCCTGGGCGTCACACCGAGTGCACACTAGCTATTAATAGTTGTATTCCTTTCACACCTAGGAGGAGCTCCGGAACAGCTCCTGGGCTTCACGCGCTTATTTCTTTCGAAAAGTGTTCGTTGCACCACGCATCTGTTCCCTGCAAGTCGGGGGCTACTAAGCACCGGAGCGAGTAGCTCGAGTGTTTCAAACTCTTGAAAGGAATACAACTAATTATTCATGGCTGGTGTGCATTCGGTGTGACGCCCAGGGTGATTTCGAACGCACTCCAGGGGCGAGTTCAGGAATGACACAGCCAGTGTGAGTGTGACACCGGTGCGACGCCCTAGCTGTTCAAAAATACTACCATACCATAAAATCACACTCGCACCCGGTGCGTTATTTCTGAACTCGGCCCTGAATGCTTTCTTTTTTGCGAGATTCTTATCGATAATATTCGATAGTCAATATGACAATACGTATCGATAAGCCCTCCTCGATCTGACAGTTTTATTTGGAACTTTTGAAAAATAGACAAACTTCACTTTTTGAATTTCAATAATAACGGTTTTTCATTTGCAACAGAAAATATAATCAGTTTTTCCCTATTTCAAACTTTCCAACCCTTAAAATGTCCTGTTCAATACCATTAATAACAATAACCGAAGTGCGCCCTTCATATTTATCATGGTTCGAAGAAAATCCAGTTAACCTCATTCATGCAAAGGTAAATTGCCCTTTTTTCCTCACAATTATTTTAAAAACAAATCTTATTCGAAGCTGCCCAGCGTAGCTTCTGCTTCCGATTCTGAAGTCTCCTTCAAAGAAGAACCTAAAGAAGAAGTCGATGATGATCTGGATCTCACAGGTGATCCTCTCAAAGTAGACCTAGGACACGATGAATCGCTTCAAGTTTTCCATAAAGAAACAACCACTCAAATGTGGTATTTAGATGAAGACAAGCACTATCCTTTGCTTGTGAAAACTGCTAGACACAAGCTAAATAAAATTCTCAAAAACCCTGATTCGAATCAAGTTCTTTCAACTTACATTGTATGTAATGCGGATGATTCTGAAAAAACTGTACTTCTTGGAGGTAACAGTAAAGATCAAATGGCTTGCTCGGTTCACATTTTGGGACATTTAACTCAAAAGCAAGTGCAGGAAATACAGTTGAGCGAAGAGGAGGATTTGAAAGCCAGCTTTGAAGGTGAAATACAAATTAATGAATATTTAGATAAAATTACTTATAATTTGTATGGTAAAAGTTTAAAGAATTTCTTCCATCAGAATGCTTCAATGCGTTATTTATCTACTATGCATGGCAGTATTGATATTGATGTAATTTCTTGTAAGAAAAATTCTCAAAGCAAAGATGAAGATAAAATCAAAGTGGTAAGTAACTTCTCATTGTTATCATATAAGCAGTACAATTGCCTTTATTATTTTAGCGTTTAGAGATAGTTGCAGGTCATGAGCTTTTAAAATTACACTTTTTATGGCTTGAATTGGTTGAATTACAAAAACTAAGTGATATTTTATCAGACGCTACTGATGAAGAGAATGTTATATGTGAAGACCCTCTAGATCAAGACATAATCTATAAATGTATAGTAGAATTTTTATCGAGTAAACATTTAAAGCTAGAGAGTGGCAAAGAAGTTGTAGATTTGAACAATATAAGACAGGAAGATTTGTTAGATGGATTATGGAGGATTTTGACTCGTGAGTGTGGGATTTATTGAAGTAATGGCCTTTTAAATGTCTATTTTTTAGGTTGTGAGAATGTTTCAGTTCTAAGAGACAGTTTTATGTTTCTCTTTGAAGAACTAGCTGCTGGAATTACTAGAAAAAATTTGCCTGTAATTATCACAATATTGTTACTAATTTTACATAAGTAGTTCAGTAAGCAAGGGTTTCTTACAGGGAAAAAGTGTAGTAGTTTTTTTCTCATCGGTTTTATATGTTTTTTCGGGTGCTGAATACGAATCTGAGATTTGCCACCTTGCTAGGTGGCAACTTCACACAGAAAATTGCAAAAAACCTTAAATTTTCAGTACTTTTTCCAGGTTTTTAACTATATTCATAATTCCATTTCGAAGCCTGAGATCTATTCGCGGTTTGTTTAGTTCGATAAAAAGACCCTACTCAATAGATCCTGGAAGTTTGAAGTCCCTCTGATTGCTTCAAGTATTTTTCAGAAGCTTCCAATAGTGATTTAATAGAATTTTTGTATGCTTTTTTTGTATCTAAGTGACAAAAAATTCATAATTCGATCCCTGATCCTGAGATTCATTCACGGTTTGTACTGTTTGATAAAAAGACCCTACTCAATAAATCACGGAAGTTTGAAGTCCCTCCGATTTTTCTGAAGCTTCCAATGGTGATTTAATAGAAATTTTGTATGATTTTATTGCATCTGAGTAAGAAAAAAATCATAAATCCATTTCTGAGCGTGAGATCCATTCACGGTTTGTTCTGTTTGATGAAAAAGGGCCTACTCAATAAATCCTGAAAGTCTAAAGTCCCTCTGATTGCTTAAAGTATTTTTCAAAAGCTTCCAATGGTATACAAAAACTTCTACATTTCTTTTCCTGGAAACGCCGTATCTAACCTTTAATGACTGAACAATTTTTTTTTTTAGATAAAAGACAATTGCTCTAAAATTTCCTTAATAATCAAAAACATATCTGACGGTAAAATTGGTGTCCCAGACATTTCCTTCATTGATAGCGTTGAATTACTTTTCGAATTGGGAGCTCAAAAATTGAAATACGATTTTGAAGTTATATTAGCTCAGTTTACAACTCGCTTTACAAATAACTCAAACAGTATTCAATCAATTTGGGCTAAATTTTACGAGCACGGTCAAGAAGATGTTAAAATGCTCAGACGAACAAGGGCGACTCGTGGAGTTAATCATATTAAACCAGAAATTTTAGATTCGAAAGTTAAGCAGTTGAGTTATCTTGCTCAACTTTACATTGCTTCGGAGTTTATTTATTTGTTGAAAGAAAATGTGAATTTGATGGACGAAGGCTATTGGCACATTTATGGTTGCATTGAAAAAGAATATATTTCAAATTGTAGTCGTATAAAGGATTTTAGAGGGATTTATGATAGTCCTTTAGTAGAAATGTCTATGGATTTGAATGTTAGAAATGCTCCACTTGTTCTGAAAAGGTTTGTTTTGTGGATTTATTTGTAATAATTATTTAACTAGTGTTTTTTTTTGTAGCTTATGTCCTTCTCGTTGGATAATGTCAATGAAAATGGGTAATAAATCTACAACAGAGACTGTTATTTATGATCTATGTAACTCGCCAATTTTTCCTCCACGCATTTATGATTATGGTATGTATATGGACACCGTTTTTATAATAGCTCTTTTCCAACCGACATGAGAACTGGTAATTTCCAGTTGCCCACCTATTTTTCAATAAGCTGAATGTTTATCTTACTTGACAAATGAATTGATCGACTGGAAATTACTGTTTTAGAACGGTTCTCATGTCAGTTGAAACAGAGTTAATACTGAGCTAATGAAGATTAATTTTTAGATGTTCCAATTTCTGATTCAGAAAGTATGGTTTATTTTGTTACCAAGATGAGCCGCTCTACAGGATTATTTTAGTACCCAAACTATTCTATTTTTATTTTGTTCCTTATTTTAAATAAATAATTTCATTTTATCAGTTAGAGTGAAACCCTATCCAAACTAAACAAAGACTGGAAATAATTGTTTATTTATATAATTTGAAATTTGAGCATGTTTGAACTTTGAATCTTTCATGCACACCATACATATGTATATGGACAATCGTTTTCTTAACTACCTAAATAGCATGGGTACTTAAAAAAATTATTGTTTTAAAAGGATCTGGCGTGCCCCAAAGTGCTGAGTCCAAACTCCAAATTTAATTCTCAAGCAAAAGTTACTTTTGGAATTCTCAAAGCACTTTCTCAAGAACTAAGATTAAACTTGAAGTTATACGATATTTGAGTATACAAAGGATAAGATGTGCACCAAAATACTCGTAGCATGCAAACATTTTAAATTAAACAATTATTTTCTAGGAATTTTGAAAATATTCCCTTCATAATCAGTCTTCAATTTGAGAAGCTCCGATGCATTTGAAAACAAAAAAAAAGGGAACATAGGGAAAATAAAATTCCTATTGGGAACCCCGATATTCAGAAATTTTCAATTATAATAATTTAAAAGAAGGAAATTTCATTTTAGCAAGGCGGAGAATTCTCAAAATTTTGATTGCTTGTGGAAAAGTAGTACTTTCCGCACTAGTTAGGAAATATACTATTTCAAGACATGCATCAACTACACTCATCAAAGTAGTCTAGAAACAAGAAATATCTGTTTTAATTTTTATCTTATCAAATTTACCTCAGCTTTTTTTGTGTATGCTTGTTCAGTTTCAATATTTTTTAAATAACATCAGCAAAAAATGTCTTGATAAGTATGGGTATTATCTTCTTCCATTTTGATGTGTTTAAATAAAAGATTGTTTCATAAAAATTCTTTATTGTAATTGAACAAAACTAGTGAAATTATCAAAAACTAAATTATAAATTTGTAATCAGTCTTCAATTTGAGAAGCTCCGAGCCCTTTGAAAATAAAATATGCAACATATTATTTTATAAAAAATCTTTATTGTAATGAACACAGATTTTTACATTGAATAAAAGTATCTAAATGAAATTATCAAAAAAAAAACTAAATTATAAATTGTACAAGGCACACAAGAAACTTCATAAACATGTACAACTTTGTCAACCTTTGTCAACTAACATAATCAAAATGTGAAATTACAAATTCATTATTTAAAAAAATAAGTTTTCTTTTAGAAATTATTTCTAGTGTATGTATGTATCTCATCAGAATTTAGTCGCATAAGTCATACAGCTAGGGGGCCATCCTCAAAAAAAAACATCCACACTTAAAAAATAATGCTCCTTAACTACTAACATTTTAAATCTAAATTAAGTCTATTTTTCAATGGATGGTCTATTTATGCTGGCTGCGAGTGGCCGGCCCCTTTCTTGCCGATCAAGGATTTGTGGATGTGCGGAATTACACCACCACCCGCGATGGTAGCCTTGATTAAGCTGTCCAATTCTTCGTCTCCTCTGATCGCCAACTGTAGATGGCGAGGGGTGATTCTCTTCACTTTTAAATCTTTACTGGCATTACCTGCCAACTCAAGTACCTAGAAAAAAAAAATGAATAGTTGAACAAAGAAGTTTTGTTACTGATAGCAACTAAAACAGGTCTATGTACTACACATTTCAACCTCAATTTCAGAAAAAGTAACTTTTATTTAGAAAAATGTAAAGTCATTTTCGGAAAAAGTCAAATTAATTTCAGAAAAAGTTAATTTTGGAAAAAGTAGAGTTAATTTCGGAAACGGTCAATTCAAATTCGGAAAAAGTAAATTCAAATTTGGAAAAAGTGATAAGTATTATTTAAACAAAAAATTAGTTAGTTACATAGAAAAGTAACACTATAAAAAACTATACATAAATATTAAAAAAATTACATGTACTCCTGAATATTATGCTCCCGGATTGAAATTATCCAGTCTCATAACTTTTTATTTTATTTATTTATTTATTTATTTATTTATTTATTGATCAACAATAGTATCCTTAAATAATAACAAAAATACCCAATATAGTTTACCTATACTTAACACTATTGCCTAATGTGGGTGCACGATGGTATTTGAAATACTATAACTGCAGGATAATGCCTCTGGACATGGTTATATGATCGGACACAATTTCCAGGATTAATTCGTCCAATAGCGATGTCGGCTAGATTTTCTATGTTTACTTATGACTTTTTCCGAATTTGAATTTACTTTTTCCGAATTTGAATTTACTGTTTCCGAAATTAACTTGACTTTTTCCGAAATTAACTTTACGTTTTCTGAAATTAACTTGACTTTTTCCGAAAATGACTTTACATTTTGCTAAGGGCCGGTTCGACAATTCAGGTATATCCCTAGTATAGGCTATACCTAGAATAAAAATTCATTATTGGGTTCGACAATTGCCGTATAACGATATTCGGAGAATAAATTAGGGTATAAGTTATCCGGCTGTCCTCGACCGTATATACTCGGAATAAAGTTATACTGTCTTTCTATTGGTCGGGGTTGGGCCTGATTACCTGAGCTGAAAGGATGTACTTGGGTTTACAATTGAATACCTAAAATTAGCATAATACGAATACAAATTATACAAAATGTTTTTCTATATTGCAAACACAAATTAATGAAATTATTATAAACAAAAACAAAAAAGTTGTGTTCAGTTCACAACTCATTTCTTAAACCCTTGCTGTTTTACCGGCATCTGTCAAAAAAAATTGTTAACTTGAGCCACTAACTTCATATTTCTTGGATAATCTCGGAATAACTATACGGCTCTTGCAAAACCATTGTCGAACCGGCGATCAGATATACTCGGGATAAATCAAGGTATAAGATATTCGGAGTATTACAATACTGAGTTTTATACTGGCATTGTCGAACCGGCCCTAAATAAAAGTTACTTTTTTCGAAATTGAGGTTGAAATGGTGTAGTAGTAATTAATAACCCAAGGATGTTGAGAATTGTTCGAAAACATTTTATAACAGTTTTCCAGAATCTTGTTGCTTGGTCTGTTTCCTTCACTAGGGATGTCCAAAAATAATCGGTTATTTGAATAACCGGTTTATTCACTTTATTTTAATTGGTTATAACTGGTTATTTCACTATCAGTAAATAACCGGTTATTCAGTCGAAAACGCCATAACCGGTTATTCAGTCGAAAACGCCATAACCCGAATCAGGTTATTTTTTTCAGAAATCTGAGTTTTGATACTGAATACATAATAGGATTTTTTTTTAACTGTTAAAATAAGATAAACATAGAAAAGTTATGATGTAATCAGAAACCCTTTTCACGTGGCTCCGGTTTAACAAGCCGCAACATACCGCTCAAATTCGAGTGGTAGGTATCCATTACATCAGTCTGTAACCGGGTTAGAAAATGGTATGTCATTTCTCTAACCGTTTTGTAACCCGGTTAGTTAAACTGGAGCCACGTAAAAAGAACTATAGCACAGTTTATACCGTACCGATACAGTTGTACAACTCTCCATATTTTTTGAGGCCAAATTCTCCAACCAATAGGAGCATTTTGACCCATATCTTGCGCATGCGCTCAATGAGTGAACAAATCTCTCAAATTGAAAAAGCAGTTCGGCATTCTAATCAGACTAATCTTTTAATCTTTTACTGTGATCTTTAAACTGTGATTCTTAAATTGTGATATTTTCCAGTTTTCAATTACTAAATTATTTATTTTTAATAGGTCTAAACTGTTTCATGTAATTTTTGACTTTATTTATATCAATTCAATTCAATTCAATTCTTTATTGTCTAACAGGAATACATACTCCCAATAATGAGACAATTAGTGCACTTAAGAGCGAACAAAAATATGAAAATTTAAAAGCTAAGATTATATCACACATAAGATCCAGAAAGCTAATAAGAAGCCTTAAACAAAAATAAAAACAACTATGAAACTAAAAACAAAAATAACTAATAACAAAAAATAAAAATAAAAATAAAAATAAAAATATAGATAAAAATAGGTATAAATAAAAATAAAAATAAAAACAAAAATAAAAACGAAAATAATAAGAAAAACTAGCATTGTTTACTCAGTTAAAATAGGAAATAAAAATAGAGATAGAAAGTCACCCTCCCATACTTCCGCCAGGACAATTATCACAGCAAAATAGTGATGATGGTTTTTTGAAAATTTTGCTACCATCCCGCGCTGACTCGTTGGTTCTGTGTTGGATTTGCTGAGGTATCTGGATGCTATCAAATCTAGCCTATTATAATGTTCTTTTATTTATGTATTGTAAACTGTTCAGGTGTTATTGATTGTATATAGAATTTTCAGGGATAATACCACGAGAGCTTCAAAATTACCGATAATTTCTCACGAAGGCGTGTTTTCTATAATTTCACGAGTCCATAGGACGAGTAAAATTTGCAGAGAAAACACGCATGAGTGAAAAATTATCTGGTCCATTTTAAAGCTCAAGTCATATTTAGAGGATTATTTCACGTATGAGAATGCAAAAAATATGGTAATAAATATTAATTAAACGATTTTAACATCTCAACAATCAATACAAATAAATGGTTGCTATAAGGAACCGTTTGTTTGATTTAAAAATTAGTATGACAACCATGTATACAATACCATGGAAGAATTATCGCTGTAATTCTCTCTAGCTAAACTAATGGAAAAAAGAATTTTCGCTGTAATTTTGAAAATCGTCACTTGTCTTATGGGATTTCTAACATGAGTGGAATAATCACTGTTATTTTATTGCTTGTCTTTCTAGTTTTTTTGTCTTATTTTTAGTCTCATCACTGACATCTTAATTTTAACTTAGTATACATTTTTAGGATATAGGAAATTAATTTAAGACTTTTTTTTTTTGCTTTGTCAATGGAATTTACATAATTTTTTGAACAATAAAGCTTTTTTGATATGATTTGGCTTATACATGTCTCTTTCCAATCCTGCACGCAAAAAAGAGATAGAGATAGCTTGGGTGAGAACCCGCGTCAAACGAGACACGCAACAGGATTGTATTACAAAAAAAGAAGAGAAGTTTTTTGACTGAAATTATTCAGGAAATTGAAAAGTAACTGGAAAATTCATCAATTTGAAATTCAGCTTTGTTAAGAGTGTTTTGCTTTCCGTGTTATTCGCGATTTTTGTGTACTTGACTGTTTTATCTTTATAAATTGTGTATTATCATGGTTGCTTCCTGTTCTGTCTGTAAAAACAACACTAGAACTAGCCCAGGCTTAGGATATTTTAGTTTCCTGAACGATGAACGACTGTAAGTATTTATATTTACATATTTCATATTAGGTTTACTCTATACATTCACATAATCTTGATCTGATGAAATAATTGTCCACATTCCAAAAATATCTAGTACTGTGATGCAAATCTGGATGGGATTGAAATCCTGGCTGTGTCCTAATGGACTAATAGTCCAGGAGGTGGCGCCAAAAACATGCAAGAGTTTTCGCAAGGCGGATATTTTCAAAATAGGTCGTACTTTAGTGCTAGAATGCTAGTGTACAGTCAGCACTCACAGTTCCGGGACAGCTGGCTCTGGGACGCGGGCAAAGTTGTAATTTTAAGAAGAATCTTATCTGTTTTCTCAAAGCTCAAAATTTATAGAAATTTTGCACATTATATGTTTGAAGGTCACAGATAACGTATGTAAATCGTCAGACGTCTAGTTCGTTGCAAAAAGGGGGTCAGACGTCCTCAAAGTTTTTATTTTATGGCATTTTCTTCAAATATATTTGTCAAATACCTGCAAAAATATATTTTGACAGGACACCGAAGAAAATGCCATAAAATAAAAACTTTGAGGACGTCTGACCCCCTTTTTGCAACGAACTAGACGTCTGACGATTTACATACGTTATCTGTGACCTTCAAACAGATAATGTGCAAAATTTCTATAAATTTTGAGCTTTGAGAAAACAGTTTAGATGCTTCTTAAAATTACCACTTGGCCCGCGTCCCAGAGCCAGCTGTCCCGGAACTGTGAGTGCTGACTGTACACTAGCATTCTAGCACTAAAGTACGACCTATTTTGAAAATATCCGCCTTGCGAAAACTCTTGCATGTTTTTGACGCCAGCTCCCCAACTAAAAAGCCAGTGAACTTTTTTGCGTGAAAACTTAGTGATGGCTACTATTTGTTTCGAAATTATAATATGATCCTGTTATATTCTCAATGTTAATCCACAAAAAATCCTAGTCAGACTCTGTCCACGGCCCAGGATTCGTTGTTTCCGATCAATAATGCGCAAGCGCGAAATATAGGGACATAGAATTTGACTACAAAAAAATCAATGGTTTGTCAACAGAGTTGAACAACTGTATCGGTAAGGTATAAACTGTGACTATGACTATAGTATTCCGAATTAAAAAAAACAAACGTGTTGACAACTGTCAAGTTAAAATTGTCAAAATAAAGCTCAGTCTCTGTCGGGTCATAAAGCTGAGTTCAGCTTTGCACTCTGTAAACTCTGAGCACGCTCGAAACGATAAGATCCTGCGGGGGGATACAAAAGTGAATACGCATCGACTAGTCTAGTGACTTTCATCGAAATGCATTCGCATGGAGTGCGTTCGAAATCAAAATTTTGGTGTGACATGGCGGCTTCGGTTCGAATCGAGAGTTCGTAATCCGCCCCCTGTTCGTTTCAGCTCTTCTCATACCGTTCCACTCCGTGGAGTGCAAAGCCGAACACAGCCATAGTTTCAAATTTTATCAACTTAGTTTCTATTTACGAGGATTTTTTTCAATTCACCATATTAGTTAGGTTAGGAAAAATCGGACGCGAAATTTAAAATGGGTACCTAAACACATTTCAACAAATTTGACAGCAATGTATTTCTTATGGGGGATTCAAAAGAGTGATTTTCAGACGGGAATATCTTGGGTTCTGGGCATTTCTTAGTATTTGAACCTATTATAGGTCAAACTTTGAACATATTTCTCTATAATTCATGCTCTAATTGTTTTTTTAGACCTAAGAATTAAAAATACAAATGATTTTAACCCTTAACTGGTAGCTAGATTTTATTTCACATAACTGGTTGCTTGGCGTACTTTGTACGCCACTTAAATAAAAATGTCTTTTCATAATTGGGATGAATTTTGCTACCTTTAAAGTAATGTGGAATCCTTAGTAACTTCAAGTATTGATTTATTAACACATTAAATATAAGATATAATGTGTCACAAAAAAATAAAAAAGCATTTTATTTCTAAAAATTAAAAAAATAATGACAACCGAACAAACCTCATTTTTTAGAATCCTTTCGCTAAACGGGTATAGCAAAACACATAAAACTTACATTTTCAATCCCAACCATATAAATGTTACAGTTTAGGCGAAAACAGTATTAAAAACCATTATAACAATAAAAATCATGATCGGTCGCTTTGGCGTATTTTGTACGCCAATCAGTACAATATTCAAAGCAGCGCCTTGCAGGGAAGCGAAATGACAACCAACGGGATCACCACTTTTCCAGTGCATACAAGATACTATGGTGGTAGGTTACATAGGCGATCACCTTCAGCCAATCGCTAGTTTCAATATGTCACGTGTTTGAACTCGTTTGGCCTACTTTTTACGCCAGCGCGACCAATTAAAAGTGTCTGTTTTCGGTGGACGTACGTCGGGTCTAAAACCAGCTGTAAGAAAGTGAGGTTGTGTGTTGTGTTATGATTGTTGGTGAATTGTTTATTTATTTATTTATCACTAGTTCAGTCATGTGTTTTTCCAATTTTTTTGGTTTATTAAAGTACATCTACTAACCAAGTATGTAGGTACACTTTTATTTTATTATAATTATAGGTACCCATACATATACTTATGGATCAAGCAACGACATACGTTATTTTATACAAACATCGGCTTCTTAAATTGGTAATATTTTTATTTTAACAATGTTTATTCAACTTTCAAACACTCTCTCAGCTAACCAACATATTAAAAAAACTATTTATAAAACTCACTTCCCTAACAAAAGTTCTATCACCTCTACAGACGCTTTCAAAATTGAGTCCCCATAAGACATCAATGTATTAATTTTTGAACTAGGAACCCGCGCCAATTTGCGGTTCTAACCTAACTAATATGGTGAATTGCATCAACCTTGGCGCATCCACCATAAAATCAGTAATTTTTAAAAATCAGTTAACTGGATAACCGGTTAATTTTGCTTCGGTCAACCGGGCCGGTTATTTTTTAGTAAAATATAACCGGTTAACCGAAAAAAGGTTATTTTCCGCCAGTTGAACATCCCTACCCTTCACGCAATAAGCTTGAGAAAGTTGTTATAAAATTTTTGAGCATCTACACCAATGTTGAGGGTTATTCTGAGAGAACATTTTTTGACAGCAATGTCCAAGGCAATATCATAAAAGAACTGTTTGCACAGGCACCACTAACCAGTCATAGTGAATTTTATTGGTTGAAACTAGCTTTCTGACTGTTTTCAACCAATAAAACTTGTTCGGACTGGTTTGTGATTGCTGTGCGAATAGGCCCAGAGTCAAACAGCCCTAGGGCTGTTTTCAGTATAATGTTGAAATTATTCAGGGTTGTTTGTGGTTTGTGTCACATGACAAAACATAACAAAATTTAATTGACTGTTAGAACTGTCCAATAGAACTATCAAACAAATTTCACAGAAATCACAAACCAGTCAGACCGTTTTTGATTGGTGCAAATCTCGAACAACCAGTTTTCTGACTGTTTTCATCCAATGAAATTCACTCTGATAAGTTTGTGATTCCTGTGAAAACAGACCAATTATTAGTTGAATGATGTATGATTACAAAATGGATTCTTAAGGCAAACACCTGATGGATTTCATTGAGTTTTCCCGCTTAATTTTTTTTTTTTTGGTTAAAACTTACCTCAGCTGTAAGGTATTCCAGAATAGCTGCCGAGTAGACTGCAGCAGTAGCACCGACCCTTCCATGGCTGGTAGTGCGGTTTTTAAGATGCCTATGGATTCTGCCCACAGGAAACTGAAAAAAGAAACAACATAACCTCAATTCTCATACAAAAAAAACTAGGTCACAAAAATTGAAATTACCAACGAAAAAAACGTGTTTTGTACGTTTTTAAACGTGTTTTTACCTGTAATCCGGCACGGGCCGAACGTGAAACCGCCTTGGCTTTGGCTTTGCCGCTGTCCTTTCCTGCTTTACCACCAGCCTGAAAATATCCAAAAAAAATCGTTATTCTCATATAATTCCAAGTCGAAAATTGCTTTAAACGATTGCCCGATCAATTATCCGCTAGATTTGCCTAATTTTTCAATTGATTTCGAGGCGAAACTCACCATTATTCCGTAAAAATTTACACACGACGATAGACCGAAATGACAAACGACAACCACAATGGCCGGCGAAAAATAAAAATGACGGTTGCTAATGGGAAGCCTGGGAAGCGGAGCCCGCCAAACGATAAAATTTTGTTTTGCGCGAGCGCAGTACGATCACGTGATCGATTCCTGACCAATTGGGAGCTGGAGAAGAACGTGACCCTGTATCGACCCAAATGATTGGTTGAAAATAGTGGCTTGCTTGGCGTGGCTTGAAAATGGAATACCGATTTAATTTTGGAGGGAAAATGATTTATAATTTAACGGCCGTTGGGAAAAGTTGTGCAATGTTTGAGGATTAAATATTGCCTTCAAATAGCATCTTCAAACCAAAAATATCATGGTTTTATTTTCATTGGAATTTCATTTAATTTTCGGTATTTGTTTATTTAAGTGGATAAATCAAATCTACCTATGTTGTATCTGTCCTTTTTGTTTGCAGAGTACAGCAAAAGATGCATTGGTAATCTCACTCATCCTCAAGGGCTTTAGGGCTAATCGATTGGATATATCGATATGCTCTCGATGTTAATGCATATCGATACGAATTTATCATATCGATATGTATCGATAGGGATCTTAAGGCGGTTCACACGGGCGTGGATGGCTTGATACATAAAAGTTCTATTGCTTTCAGGCCGGTTTCTCAATAGCGGGTCACCTCTGAGCCGCTTTCCAGTGCCTAAATTGTTAGAGTATCATGCTCCTGAAGTGTGACGCTCTTGAACTGTTCGACATAAGCAGCACTGGAACGCTCTCGTCTTAACCCCCACCATTTCGAATTTCAGGAGCATGAAACACTGACAAAAGGGTTGGTGCACGAGGGGGCAGGGGATAACAGAAATGAGTAGCTCAAGTGTAAGACACTCTAAGCACTGGAACGCGCAAAGCAATTGTGGAGCACTCCTGAGCTGCTCAGGAGTAACTCAAATGGGTCACTGGAAAGCACCTGTTCTTTTAACTCCAGGGTAAGCGTGTGCAGTTGCTATGTTTACCCTGGAGTTATGCTTAACTTGGGGGTGACCTGCTATTGAGAAACCGGCCCTTTCAAGTGCTTAGAGCACTAGAGCTACACCCTCCGATGTAAGTCGCATTGGTGACGCCACGATGTGGGGGGCCAGAGAGGGCCAGGGCCTCCACTGAAATTTAGTCGGCTTCCCTGAAAACTTGCTCTAATGTCGACAACAATAGTTGTATTCCTTTCAAGAGTTTAGAACACTCGAGCAACTCGCTCGGTACTAGTCGCCCCCGATTTGAAAGAAAATATTTAGATGCGTGGTGTTACAAACACTTTTCGAAAGGAATAAGCGCGTAACGCACCGGAGCTGTTATGGAGATCCTCCTACGTGTGAAAGGAATACAAGTATAGCAATGCAACATCAGCAGCCTCTAGCGTCTGCTGATTAATTCGGTATTCGGTGGGCACAGGCCAAGAATCGTTAACTAACAGGATTGCTCATACGTTCGTCAATTCTCGAGTCGGCAGGGCCTGCAAGTGACGTCACTACTAATTAGCAGCTTATAGTGACGACGTCACCTGCAGGCCTCGATGGGATGCTTGCGATTTAAGTTGTACTTGTTTTTTCGTCGGTTTTTAATGAAGAAAGGGTTATTTTAACAAGATTATAATGTTAAGGAATACGTTTTTTTAAACTATACTGTTTCCAGCTCGGCTTATGTATTTTACGCCAACACTTGGCGTTGAGGTTTTCAGCTGAAATGGCAAACATTTTCAGACCAATAAACAGTCCTATGTTAAGTGTTCTTGGTTGGGCACAGGCAACCGCGATGCTGCTTTCGCTTTCCTGGGATTCTCTCAGACATATTAGTGTCGACCAGGTACCTAACTTCCCATTTTTTATTCCAAAGAAAAAAAGCAATACAATAATTTGCCCCCCATAAATTTTTCTGGCAATTCTGGCTAGTCTGGCCCCCCCCCTAACATAGAACCCTGGACTGGGATCACGACAAGTAGAATTCTACTAGAATTCAACTTTCATGACGTCAAGTTGCCTAGCAACCGTCATCATCGCCTGCGTACTGAACGCGATGAATAGGTCGCGAGTGACGTCATGAAAGAGTAATTCTAGTTGTCGTGATCCCAGCCCTGTGCTGGGATCACAAGTAGAATTATACTAGAATTCTACTTTCATGACGTCAGATTGCCTAGCAATCATCATCATATCCTGTTTTGTACGCGATAAATAGGTCGCGGGTGACGTCATAAAAGTAGAATTTCACTCGTCGTGATCCCAGCCCTTGGTGTCGTCACTGGTTAGTCGACCCCGATTTGAAAGGAACAAGATGCGCTGGCTTTCGGGCATTAAATGGATTGAGGTCGGGCTTGGGCACTTCAGGTGCAACAAACACTTCGAAAGGAATAAGCGCGTAACGCCCTGGAGCTGTTCCGGAGCTCCTCCTAGGTGTGAAAGGAATACAAATAGTATCATGTACGGTCGTGAGTGTGAGCCATGAAGTGAGACACCCGACTGACAAGTCTTGTAACTTTTCGCTATTTTGGGTAAATCTCTACAATAGTCGTTTTCTCGTAGCTCCGGCTTTCGACCAATAGACAAAAATCCGCAAAATAACAATCCGCAATTCGCGTTTATGAGTACTAGGCTTAAAACTAACCGGGCTAGAAAACGGTGAGTAGCGGTATGTCAAGTGATGACGTCATTGCAAATGCCATTCGAAAACGAGCGGTTAGAAAAATGTGAATTGAAATTAGGCAATCCAACGACCTGTCGATATATATTTTATAATAGGATGATGTACCCTCTAGTAACCGCCAAAATTTCAGGTGTATCTTGAAAAAAAATGCCCCTATCGTTTATTTGAACTTTAATAGCCGTTTCCACCAACTATTTTAGGGGAGCCTTATCGATAAGTATTCCCTAAAATGACATTTTTACATGGAGAAAGAAAGGCTCCCCCCTCCTCTAAGATAGTTGGTGGAAACGGCCATAAGTGTTTCCATGTTCGTCAATTCAGTAGGTAGAAACGAATTTTCGCGACGAACTACTTCGCTACTTCCATGTGGACGCACCTTCTAGCCAGCGTTCAAACTTAAGACGTCACAAGACGAACTATAACCAAATTTTCGTCACGAACTACTTCCATGAATTCATGAACACAAACGCTTTCGCGAGAAACTGATGTTGTCATATTGAACGTAGTTCGACGGAAGCATGTACGCAGCTTTTAGCCAGCGTTCAAACTCATGACGTCACTTGGATGAACTACATTCGTCGCGAAAATTCGGTTTAGGTGGAAACTTCAGATTAATAGACAATTTTTGGCGAGGATAATCAAGCATAATCTGATAAGGCTGGGTTATGTGATGTTTCAATTGTGTCATACTCCCTTAATTGCCTCTCCATCAAATTTTGGGCCTGCGAGTGACGTGATATCCGCAGATACAGTGATGACGTCACCCGAAGACCTCAATGGAATTCTGTGCTAGTGAGTTATTTTTTTCGTCGATTTTAAATGTAGAAAAGGTGATTTTTCGGTCTTTTCTCACCAATGACGTTCTCACAGAAAAAAAATGTATTCTTGATCCTCGAATATCCCAAAAGTTGACGGTGGGGGAGTTAGGGGAGTATGACACAAGTGATACATCACATAATCCAGCAAAAGATTGTGCCTTGTTATCCTCGCGAAAAATTGCCTATTAACAAAACACAACTTTATATTTAACACGTTGATAGACAGTAGAAAGTGGTCGGTGCCAAAAATGACACTAGAACTTTTGAACAAATTAGTGCTCTAGTGCTCGGAATGCCTTCTAAAGTAGAAGGAACGACTGAGCATTTGAAAAAAAGTTAAAATTTTTGATCTACAAGAGTTTGAAAATTGACGCTGATAGACGTCCTGCCACATTTGTACGGAGGAAATGGCCGTGACGCCGCGCCGATACACGTCTAGTTAAAAATGTTATATAAATCAGAGGGAAGGGGGCGGCTCCCTGCAAATCCCCAAAAAGATATGTTTATGCTAAGTTTTTATGACATACTCATTATTTTTTTATTAATTTTATTAACAAATATAATAAAATATGTCGAAATAGGAAACTCCCTCTCCCATTCTGGCTACAACACTGAATAAAGCAACAAATATCAATCAAAAATTGTTTCATTCTCAACTAGGAGGAACACAAAAATTTAGCACAAAATTTCCCGCCAAAATCTTAACACACCTCGACACTGTAAGTTCAACAGTCAAATTATGACCGATTTTATTTACATGGACTAGGACTTCTAACGGCGTACTGAGGAATTTGGATTTTTTTTTTGCTGAGTGTCGGATGATTCCATGTGTTACAAAATTATGTCCTCCAAAAACGGCAGTATAATAATGTAATCGGTCTAAAATGTGGCAGAAAAAAGGTCTCCTTAGGGCGGGTATTATAAAACTGCTTTGACAGTTAACTTGAAGTTAACTTTTTGAATTACATGTAATATGTAATTCCAGAAGTAATTTTCCCGCTCTCCCTTGTTCACAAATTTTCTATTTTTTTTTTGTTCTAACCGTTAAACGTAACCATATCGCCGAGCTGGTTAGGGAAACGACATGCCCCGGTTACAATAAGTGACGTTGTCGATACCACTTGAATTTGAGTGGTATGTTGCGGTTGCGGTTTGTTGAAGCCACGTGAAAAGGGCTAATAGTTCTTTTCACGTGGCTCCAATTTAACTAACCGGGTTACAAAACGGTTAGAGAAATGACATACCGTTTTCTAACCCGGCGGTTTGTTAAACCGTAGCCACGTGAAAAGGGTTAATGGGTTTTTTGTCAAATATGACAATACTTGCCTGTCATTGCCGACGGTGTAGCTGGTGAGCTCGTTTTACAATAGGAAATATCGGGTGTCCCATTTTTAATGCTCACACTGTAGTTGCGACCATTGGAATTAGGCAAATTCTTGAAACTGAACCATCTTTCGTATCGGCGGCCATCTTCAAAGTCCGGACTGCACGTGACGTCACATGTTGTGAACAAATTTAGCCGATTGAGCAATCCTGTAAAGGAGGATTCTTGGAGGCCCTCAACAAAAATGCTTTTTTTGTCTGAACGTCACCACAATTTGACCTGAACGGCCATATTGAAATAGATTGCCTAATTCCAGAATTCAAGCTCCGGAATTTCTCTATTCAGAGAAACTTAGAAGATAACGAATATTCTAGAGCCGGGAATAGACAAAAATTGTGACAGAAAAACTGACAATTAAATGTCTATTTACACTACGTAACGAGCAGTTTTTTTACTGGACTTTGACAAAAAAAAATCAGGAATATCGTATCGATATTTTCTGATATTAGTATCGATATGAAAAAGAACTGTAAAAACTTTGACAGAATAACGCATCGATACATATGAATATCGATACACCCTTCTCTAAAAAAAGCGCCTTTTTTGTTTCTCATCTAGCAGCCATTTCCTGTGGCGCACGCGCCAACTGATCATGCCTTCCAAGAGTGAACTACGCTAGCGCCATTCGGAAAAATTTTGAACTAGCGTTCAGGGCCCATAGTTGCCACTTCAAACAATATTTCTTTGAATAAAATATAAATAAATTAAATTGTGAAATTTGAATAATAAAATCTCCATTTGTATGTGCATTAATTTAACAAAAAGCTTATAATCCATATTGGAATTATTTTAAAACAATTAAAATATTATTCATTTATGTTGTAAATGTTGAATTTGTGAATGTCAAAGTCAAAGGTAATTTGATTAAGCGCGATGTGACAACGTCGCTACTTCAATTTGCCAATTTTATCAAAAGTTTACTACTACACCCCAAAGTCCCAAGTGTCTGCGTTTTCATCACCCAAAAGAAAAAAAAACACAGAAATTGCTATTTGTACATTTTGCAACTGAAAAATTTCAGCATCCAGTGAAAGTTTTCCGGTTCGAAGATTCCATTTCCAGACAAACAGGTGAGGAAATTTGAATTTTTCCCCGAAAAAAATCGTAATTCTAGCGCCGGGTGTGCAGTGCAGGCGGCAGCCGAATAACTAGGCAGCACAAAAAACGTTTTTAGCCTCAAAGTTGCAATCGCAACTATAGTATGGGAATTATTCATTAGAAAAATAATTTCGGGCCACTGAACTCTGGGGTTAAAGTTTATTTTCTTATGCGAATCGTCCTGCGAGGCTGCACGTGTGATTTTCAAAGGATTCTCCTTTGTTTGTGTGACGGAATTTGATATTATCTTATCCACTGATTTTGCTTATTGTTAATCCGTTATTAATTTTGGATATTTTTTGCTTACAGTTTATTTGCTTAAAATTGATGATTCGTGAGGGTTGCTCCTGTTAATGGCGAAAGCCCCGGAGGGCATTGAAATTGAAATTGTATTTAGTTGATCCATTACCTCAACCTCTGGCTTTTTAGTGGATTGTACAAAATTTACGATGCAACAGAAATTACCTATTAATAGATTTTAATGCCCATAGATTTGGTAGAACCATATATAAAATCCAGAGCAATAATAATTTTAAAATAGATTTTCAATCGATTGGTTTTACTATCAAATTTCTCTGTGGCACTCTAGCTAGTTCGTTATTTTGTGACTGGATTATAAAATAAACCATAAAATACACATTATGGTTTCCTCAGTTTCAAATAATGCCAGATTCCATACTATGGTACTCGGCTATTTGTTTAAATCCCAAGATCCAATAACATCTATAACTCTACAGTTTTCTGCAAGTCTTTGGTTTTGACCTTTAGATAATCCATAAAAGAGTGAATGCTGATAATTTTCAACATTCAGTTTTTGTCATTTAAGGTAGGTATATTTTATTTAATGATATCCACAAATTCCCTCAGATTTCCCTAACATATCTCAAATTACCACTAAGATTTCTTCAGATTTCCTTAAATCTCCCAGGAATATCATAGAATATAACAAAAGCACAAGTGCACAGCCAGAACACAACTCCCGAGGTCTTCTCCTTTACAACAAAACTTGAAAAGTAATGTGGATCCTGGTTCTTATTTATTGGATGTTAAAATAAATGACACATTTGTACTGGAAACTACAAACGTATTAGAACTTAATGAAATCTTTAGAGGAATAAAAAACAATAAATCCAGTGGGCACGATAATGTTTCAATAAATTTGCTTAGAAACTTGCCTGATAATGCATTATATGCCTTGTCTGAATGTATTAATATTTCATTTTTAACAGGAGTATTTCCAGACTGCCTGAAAAAAGCTATTGTGTTGCCTCTTTATAAGGGTGGCGAATTGGACAACCCATTTAATTATCGACCAATATCACTTCTCTCGACGTTGTCAAAAATAGTTGAAAAGTTAGTTAAAGAAAGAATGTTAAAATATTTTTCAAAACACAACATAATAAGTGACACCCAATTTGGATTCCAACCATTAAAGGGCACCCATGATGCAATGTTTAATCTTTTGGAACAGGTATTCGTCAGTCTTAATGAAAGTGAGCTTGTCGCCGTTGTGTTTTGTGATTTCTCTAAAGCCTTTGATTGCGTAAATCATAAAATAATGCTTAAAAAACTAGAAATTTATGTTATGGCTTCGGAGGAATCTCATACTCATGGTTTGAATCTTATTTCTCGGGAAGAGAACAATTTGTTAAGATTGGTGATACTCAGTCATCAAACTTGGCCAATGGTGTTCCACAAGGATGTGTTGGGACCAATATTGTTTTTACTTTATTTAAATGATATTAATCACCTCCCCATTAGAGCTAAAATAACATCATTCGCTGATGACATTACTCTGTCCTGGAACGGAAAAAATATTGAAGAGTTGAAAAAGATTATTTCTGAAGACCTAAATCTTGTAAAGAGCTGGTGTGACTCTAACTTGCTTTGTTTTAACTCTAAGAAAACCAACATATTTTTTTTGACGATTTATTATTAGACACACACACAATTGAAAATAAAACTAGCTGTAAATTTCTTGGTGTTCATGTTGATACTCAACTTAAGTTTAATGAGCACGTTACAAATCTAAACAAACGATTGGCAAGTGGTTGCTATGCTGTAAGAATAGCGTCAAATGAACTTGGTTTGAATACTGCTAAGTTGGTTTATTTCTCGTTGGTTGAATCTCATATCAGGTATGGCATTGCATTTTGGGGTAACTGTTCTAATAAATTGTTTGATTCTGTTTTTGTCATTCAAAAGAGAGCAGAGCGCTATTTGTGTAAGGTTGGATATTGGGAGCATTGCAAGCCACTATTTTTAAAACATAAAATACTTACAGTATGCTGTATATTTATCATGGAAACTGCTTGCCTTATGCACAAAAAACATTATGATGAGTTAGAATATCCAAGAACTTATCCAACTAGGCAACTTCTTAAAATTCAGCTTCCTATACCCAAGACTGCATTGACGCAAAATTCACTAATTTATAAAAGTAGGCAAATTTTTAATCATCTGCCTGTTAACTTAAGGCAGATAGGTGGTTTTAAAAAGTTTAGACTAGAGCTCAAAACATTTTTACATGGAAAAGCCTACTATCATATTAATGAATTTTTAAATGAAAAATTTTAATTTTGTTTGTTTCATTGTTTTGTTTTGTTCTGACCGCAACCTTTATGTTTTTTCTGTATTGGCTGTACCTTCTATATGACTCTATAGTTTGATGTAGTGAAAATTGTACATGTGTTGCTTAGGATTATGCTTTGACATTTATGTTTATTTTTTATTTTATTGATTGTACCTCTTTTTTTTTATAGGCCGATAATTTTTAATTACTTGCACATTATTTAAGATCATGCTTTGTCAATGAAATTTATTTTCCGACAATAAAGTATATTTTGATTGATTGATTGATTGATTGATTAACACAACATGTGCATTTTATCTTGATCTATTCCCACAGTTAGTGGAAAACCTGGTATAACATGATATTCTTTCTCAAATATTCTCAATCAATAGAAAATTAAATTCCTCATTAAAATCTGAGATTCTGAACGTGTGCACAGTGCACAGTCTCACTCAGTAATATTTTCCTTAGATTTTCCCAGATATCCCTCACATCTCCCACAGATCTCCTCAGATTTCTTTCAGCTTTTCTCGAATCTTTCCCAGGGTTAGCATGCACAAATACCCTTTTGAAAACCCAGTGGTCAATCAAACCCACCAACACAATAGTGACCACAGATTAAACAAATATCAATCGAAAATCTAGGATTATTCTGAGCAATAAATTAATTTAACAGGGTACCAACCATAAGCCAAAATCTCGGCCAAAATTATAGGAGCCAAATTTATAGTCGCTTTTTGACGTTTCATCAGCCCTTAAGGAGGCCTTGAACATTTAGAATTGACATGACTAACTTGTCAAATAGTAGCTTTTCTTTTCCTAAATCTCAGGCTCGAAGAAATATGAACCAATCATAGAATCTGATAGTTGAAATCGTGGTTGAAATGCTCAAAAACTCTTAAGTCAAAATCGAGGTTAAAATATGCACTATTCTTGTGAACAAATAATTGTTATATACAAAGGTCACCTATACCTACCTAAATATAACAAAATCAAATAATAAAACAAAAATATAAAAACATAAAAATGCAAAATACCGGGTGCCCACAAGATTACTTTCCGGCTGCCATTTTTTTATTTGTTCATTGATATCAATGAAACTTGGTAGGCTTGATATTCTAACAAAATGCCATTTTTGTGCATTCATGACAAGTTTTCCTGACTTCCGGTTTCACCGGAAATTACCGCAACTTTCGATTTTCAAATGGCACACCCTGTATATTTTTTGTTTTTTGGATTCTACAGATGATTTTATGTCCTAATGTACCACTTTTAAATCGAACTTTGTCCAAATTTCGTTTTCAAATTAAAGGACCCCGCAATATTCAAATGGAAATTGGTTACCTGTGATATTTGGATGAAATTTAAATATGTTGTTGGGGATGCCGTAAGCACCATTTTTTTACCATGGGCACAACCCTGTATATATGACAGGTGAGGCGTGGTTAGCTGTCAAATATTGGAAACTTATATCCGAAAGCAGAGTGACTATGGCAGATTTTGATGAACGAAGTATCGATGTCTACTAAGTCAACCATGTTAAGTCGAAAAATGTCAACGATTTTGACACCTGTCAAAACCCTGCCAAACAGCAGCACTCATCTTTTCCCGTTTTCAATATTTTATGATGTCATTTGACATTTTAAACTTGTATGTGAATTCTCAATTCAAAAATTGGAAAAAAAATGACAGAACTGTCAAAACCTGTCATTTGTTTTAGTAGAAAAAAATACTCTAATCTAGTTCTTTTTTGTTTCAAGGTTGTTTATTAGTGATAAAACATTAAACAATGTTCATGCATGTCACATTTTGACTCTTGACAGTTGTCAAAATGTGACATACCCAAACTTTGTTTAATATTTCATCACCAATAAACTACCTTGAAACAAAAAAGAATCAAATTAAAGTATTTTTTTCTTCTAAAACAAATGACAGGTTTTGACAGTTCTGTCTTTTTTTTTTCAATTTTTGAATTCAGAATTTACATACAAGTTAAAAATGTCAAATGACATCATGCAATATTGAAAAATGGAAAAGATGAGTGCTGCAATTTGGCAGGGTTTTGACAGGTGTCAAAATGGTTGACATTTTTCGACTTAACTTGGTCGACTTAGTAGAAATAAATTTTTAGTTCATCAAAATCTACCATAGTGACTCTGCTTTGGAATATAAGATTCCAATATTTGACAGCTAACCACGCCTCACCTGTCATATATACAGGGTTATGCCCATGGTAAAAAATGTTGCTTATGGCATCCCCAACAACATATTTAAATTTCATCCAAATATCACGGGTAACCAATTTCCATTTAAATATTGTGGGGTCCTTTTAAGTAGAAAAAAAATAATAACTTACATAATAAAACAAAAATATTTGAACGAAAATTAAGAAAAATGTCG